CAATACAATCACAATTTCACTCAATTCGATGATATTACCCAATTTCATAATGTGCATCGACTTGTATACTAACGGTAGGTCTAATATTTTTTGCGTCATATGGCCCCATACCCAAGACAAAGTTTTCCAAAGTGTAGAGCAATGTGTAGCACGAAGAAGTATGTTTTATTTCACAGCCACAATTTTTCAAACAAATATAATTAATCACCCTACATCAACAGCATTATTTTACATCTCACTTCACTTTACTAACTTTTTAATCTAAATTTTGTTGCACTGACCTGTCTCTAGCACACATCCGCCATTTGTTGCGTTTCCCCATATTCCAGAACATAATCTCCCAAAGTTTTAATCTTGAATCTTAGAGAGAGAGGCAGACATTCTATTTGGTCTTAACAACGATTAACTGTCTGGTATTTCCTAAGCCTGGTTAGCAACGCCGGTTCCTCTTGCGAGTCCGGTGGTTGTACGGGGCTCGCCCGCTGTCTCGGGTGCTCACGTGCTTTTTGTTCTAGTACCCGCAGGCATAGAAGTAAATGTGTTCCTCGCAATTGAGTCTCCGGTTGTCGACATTCACGTTTCCCCAGCGCTCTCAACTGACGCATTGCCGTCCCCCAAAATTCTGTCGCACTGGAGTCCTCTGTCACCTGGGCTTGTTAAAAAACGACCCTGTTGCGCTGTGTCCACAGGCTGGTAAGGCAATTGTGCACAGGATATGCCAGATGCGTTTCCATTCCAGTATGATGTACTTAATGTCGTCCGGGTATGTTCTCTGCATCTTCTCCACTAATGAGGGCGATACGGGAGGCGCTTTCCTGTTCGCGCAGCTCAATTGGAAGTTCTCGATGCTCCCATGCTTCCCCAGTCCACTGCTGGATGAGCTTCACCCAACAAGCCTGGGCGCAGGAGCACTCCCAGAAGATGTGCTCCATCGTTTCCTTTCGCCCTTGACATGCCGCTAGTTTTCTGCAACTGCTGTCATGTTTCCTGCCTTCGTAGTACAAGTTGAGTTGCCGCACCGCAACTCGATACGCTATCCATACTTGATACTCCGTAAGCTGATTTCTGTGGGCCCAGACTTGCTTTAACGTCTGGTGCATCGCTGCGCGTTGCCAGGTGCTTCCGGCTACCACCTCGTGAAGTCGCTCTACTGGTCGCTGAAGCTGTTCTACTTCATTGCGGTACCGTTTAAACGGCTGCTGCTTAAGTGCTTTCAGCACATGGTTATTCGCGATACTTTCTTGTACATTCCACGGACAACTGTGGGCGCTGGGGTGAGCATAAAATACTACCTTTCCTGCTGCTCCCAGTGCTTGGAGCACTCGTATGTCTGCTGATGTACCTTCTCTTCCGTAATCTGCTCCTACTGGAGTCCAAGCCAGTCCGTTGCTCTGCTGTTCCAAGGTGATACTGGCTCCCGCCGCCGACCCCACGACGACCGTGCCTATTGCAAGGCCGTCCGGTTGCAACTCCCACCGATATTCATTTTCCAGTTCTGGCGGGTGTCGTAAAGTGAGCTCTTTCGTAATTGCCAATGTTGCTCCCATGGGTAGGGCTGGGGCGTTCATCAAGATCGCCAGACCCCACCTCCGTAGCTTTGCCGGTTGGTGCTCCTCCTCCCCATCGACCGGTATGCTGAGGGAGTACGTTTTCGAGCTTATTCGTGTGATCTGAAGCTCTTTCAACGTGCAAGGTTGGATTCGGTTGAACTTCTTGGCACTCAGGGTTCTGCCTACGTTATCGACAATCCACGGGTTGTCATTCCACGTGTACGCCGGCCAGTAGAGTTCTTCTTGTGTACTCATTTCGCGTTGTGTACACCCGAGCTCCCATGGTAGCTCGATGATCCACGTCCCCGCTGCAGTCGAACTGATCGATTCCACTTCTAGTTCATTAATTGCTATCTGGTATTCCAGTATAGCTTCGCCTTCCAACTCTGCGGTGGGTTGAAAACATTCACCGACTAGCTGGTGTAATTTGTCTCCTGGTGATACTCCCGCTGAGTGCAAGGATCGTGTGAGCTTGCTTCTGGGCGTGAGTGTATTTTCCCAAGCAAGTGATGTCCCTCGGAACATCCAATGCTTCCACGCCTGCCAGTGCGAGTCTTTGCGTTGGACTAGCCAGAGGATCGTTTGTTTTACCCTCTGGGTCTTGCACGCCACCGGGATTCAAGCGAGTCCCATTCCTCCTGCCTGTTTAGGTGCGAAGACTAGGCCTGGAGCGACCTTGTGACGGGTACTCTCTGTTGCCGTTGCATGCCTCCACAGAAATTGTTTTTGCAGATTCCTGAGTTGCTTGTCTGCCCATTTAGGCATGTCGAAGGCCGCTGCTGTGAATAGAACCGAGGGAAGCATAATGACGTTCAGGATGGTGATCCGATGGTCGATGCTTGTTCCCAACTTCGTTGCCGTCGCTAAACGTCTTTGGATGTTGCGAATCCTGCCTGCCCAGTTGATGGCTGTCAACGGCCCAGTGCCCACTTGATAACCCAAATATCGGACGGTGTCACCTCGTCGAAGGACCGGTAGGCCGAAGAACTGATGTTCTTCGATCGCCGTGTTTAAGAAGATGAGCTGACTTTTGGCTGGTTGCACCTGCAGACCCGAGAGTTGACCGAAGCGTTCTACGATATTCATTACTTTAGGGATCTGGTGAGCATGCTGCAGGAATACTGTCGAGTCATCTACGAACGCAGAGAATAAGTGCCGCTGTCCTCCTGTTCCTGGGACTTCCAGCCCTTGCAGTGTGGTGTCCTGCTTCAGTGCTAATACTTCCGCCGCAATTATAAACAGTAAAGGGGCTACTGGACAACCTTGACGGATACCCGAGACAGCTGCCTGCGATTCGGAGAGTTCTCCATTTACAAGAAATCTTGCCGTTGTGCCATCATGCAGCCGCCGTAAGAGATTCACAAATTCTACTGAAAATCCAAACTTTAGTAACGCCAGAAACAGAAATTCCCGCGACACGGTATCATAAGTTTTCTGAAGTCGAGAAGGAGAATAACTCGACTTAACAATGCCGAGAGTTCCGGTTCTCCTCGAGCCGTGGCGGTCACAGCCAGCATCATCATGACGGTCTTTATCATCTGTCGGCCGTGCACGAATCCCTGTTGTGAGTCGCCGATCGGTTTGCCGATAACTTTCTGCATCCTGCACGCCATTACTTTCATGAAGACTTTGTACGCGGTCTGTAGAAGTGAGATTGGTCTGAAGTCCATGGCATCTACCGAGTCTCCTCTCTTCCTGAGAGGAATAATCAAACCCACCAGGAAGGAGGGAGGCGGTTCCGCTCCCGCCAGTAACTTGTTTCCTATCGCTACCATTGCGGGAGCAAGGACCGGCTGAACGTCCTTGAAGAAGTCTTTGTTTAGCCCATCTGGGCCGGCCGCTTTGTGTCGATTGAGTTCGGCAATGGCCCCGAGAACCTCATCAATCGTGATTTCAGCCATTAATTCTCCATTTTGTTGCGGTGTTATCTGCCGATCTCCAGGAATGTGTACAAATTTGTCGAATTCCTCCTGCAGTCAGTTTGGAGGAACAGTACTGTGAACAACTCCGAGGATTGGTTTCCATTCAGAGCCAAAGTTGTCTGCTATCTTCATTTCTCTGTGAAATCGGTCTCCATGGAGGTGATGAATCTCTGCAGTTGATTGATCTTTCTCCCAGTTGGAGATCCGCTTAAAATTCCAACGCAGTTGGTCCATTGTCCGTTCCAGGCGCTGACCTAGCCGTACAAGCTGTTCCTCACGAGCATCTTCTTCATTTGCTTGTAAGAAGTCCCGTCTGGTGAGGAGGTGGGCCCTGTTTTGGGCTTTCAACCGTTGTTTCACTCGTTTTCGACGCTTGCGTTCGCGCTTTTGGATAATCCTAATGCTGCGTACACAAGCTTCGGCCGCGTGGTCCCATGACTTGCTCGTGACTTGATAGCCAACTCCCTGCTCTATTAGCTCCTTCATGAGTTCCCGTTGCAACACAGTGTGTATAGAAGTCCTGATGGGGTACGTGACACGCCGTGTTGACCGGTTTCCTTGCTTCGGTTGTATCCTGTCATGCTGCAGTGCAGGCATACACACTGGTGATCGGACTGTGCTTCTGGATCTCGAGCTTCCACCCACTGTATGTCTG